GTGGTGCAGGAGCTGCAGTCGCGTATACTGGCGAATATAGAAAACCTTTCGGGGGAGGTTTTCAGCTCGCTCCCGCCGCCAGAGAAGGTCCGTTGTTTTCTCTCTCTAAACCCTAAACCCTAAACCCTAAACCCTAGTAAACCCTAGTAAACCCTAGTAAACCCTAGAGGCTAATTCAGTCTGTATCGGTTGCCGCTGCAGCGCCTTGTCTCCCTTAAAGGGTTTGCGGAGCACAGCTGAGGGTTTTGCGTTTCGTGTTGAGGGTTTAAGGGGATTTAGGGTTTAGGGTTTAGGGTTTATTAGGGTTTAGATTTTAGGGTTTAGGGTTTATTAGGGTTTAGGGTTTATTAGGGTTTAGGGTTTAGGGTTTAGGGTTTTGTGGTTGTGCTGGCAGCTGTCTGAGCTGAAGAAGGCGGCGGAGGCAAAGAAAGAGCTGTCGTCGTTGGATGCCTCAAATATCATCGTACGAGGGTTTAGGGTTTAGGGTTTAGGGTTTAGAGTTTAGGGTTTATGTTTTTTTTTTGTGTATATATCGAAGCCATTTGCTTTGTCCAGCTGTTCGTTGTCGTACCGCTAAGGGTTTAGGGTTTAGGGTTTGTTAAAGTGTACTGGGGTTTAGGGTTTATTAGGGTTTAGGGTTTATTAGGGTTTAGGGTTTACTAGGGTTTAGGGTTTCGGGTGTTGCGTGCAGCAAGGGAGGCCAAAACGGCGTGCTGCGTCTTCTGCTGCGGTGCGTTTATCTTAGATTGTTTCCTTTCTGTAGCTTAGGGTTTAGGGTTTAGGGTTTAGGGTTTGATGCTCCGAGTCGAGGGTTTAGGGTTTAGGGTTTAGGGTTTAGGGTTTGTGTTGCAGGAGGCAATAAAGCGGGACATTCAGCGGGACTTGGAGCGTGAGGCTGCTCAGGCTGCGTCTCAGCCAGCTGCGAAAAAAGCAAAGACAGACGAAGAAAAAGATTCTGCTGCTGCTGCTGCTGCTAGCAGCAGCAGCAGCAGCAGCAGCAGCAGCAGCGGTGGAGCAGAGAAAAAAGAGAAAAAAAAAAGTGAAAAAGTAGAAGAAGAAGAAGAAGAAGATGATGAAGATGAAGAAGAAGAAGAAGAAGAAGATAGCAGCAGCAGCGACTCAGATGACAGCAGCAGCAGCGACAGCAGCGACAGCGGCTCTGACGACGACGATGAGGAGGAGGAAGAATAGAAAAAAAAAAAAAATAAAATAAATAAATAAATATATTGTAACTATAAATAAAATAATTTAAATTATTATATTATTTATTTTATTTCTGTTTTAATTCGTAAACAATAAATATAAATAAATATATATACGCTGCTTCTCCTCTCGCGCAATGGAGATGACACCGCGTTCAGGTGTATAGGCACCTCGCGGCGCTTTGGCTTTTCTATCACGCTCACAATATTTAATTATATTTTAATTTATATTTAATTTTCAATATACATTCAATGTTTTTATTGTCGCCTTATATCCGTCTTCGTCTAGCAACAAACACTGCAGCAGCAGCAGCAGCAGCACCAGCACCAGCAGCAGCAGCAGCAGCAGCAGCAGCAGTAGTAGCAGCGGTTTATTGTACTTCTTTATTAGTTTATTATTATTACCCAAGCAGAATAGATGTTTATATAATAAATAAGGCAAATGCTTTCATTTGGGGTTGTCTTTATGTAGTTATTTATTTATTTATTTATTTATTTATTTATTATTTATTTATTTATTATTTATTTATTTATTTATTTATTTATTCGTTTGTTTGTTTGTTTGTTTACCTGTTTACGTTGCCAAGGAAACATACAAGGCGAGAACAACAGCAGAAGGATTTAATTTATTTATTTATTTAATTTAATTAGTTTAATATATTTATTTATTTTATATAGTTTTGTTCTCTCTGTATTAGCTACGTTATTGTCACTGCAACAGCACGGGAAGAGGATGAACAGTTGCTGCTGCTGCTCCTGCTGCAGCTGCTGTTGCTGCTCCTGCTGCTGCTGCTCCTGCTGTTGCTGCTCCTGGTGCAGCTGCTGTTGCTGCTCCTGGTGCTGTTGCTCCTGCTGTTGCTGCTCCTGCTGCAGCTGCTGTTGCTGCTCCTGCTGCAGCTGCTGTTGCTGCTGTTTTAGTCAACGAAAAGAATCGGGGAACTCTGGGGTGTATCTACACATAGCGTGGTGTGAGTACACCCTATACATATATTGTTTATTATTTACTTGTATTATATGCACATAGATATAGAATATTATTTATTTTTTTTATATGTATAAACATTATTTATTGTGTATTTGTTTTATTTGTTATATATATATATATATNTTTATTTTTTTTATATGTATAAACATTATTTATTGTGTATTTGTTTTATTTGTTATATATATATATATATGTATATATGTATATATGTATGTATATATATTACATATTCTGTATCTTACCCAGGCGGTGATCTCGCCTTGTTTTCTTTTGTTCTGTTGCTGCTTATTTCCTTTTTGTTGACATGTTGCTTCTTTTTTTTGTTTTATTTATTTTTTATTTTTATTTTTTTTGTTTTTTTTCTGCTGTTGTTCGTTTGTAGCTGTACTTCTTCGTTGTGTTGCAGTGTATCTTGACTATGGTCCTGCGCACGTGCTCGATCTGCAGCAGGTACAGCTCTTTTTGTGTGGTTTTAACGAATTAAAGTATTTTTTTGTTTAAAATAACATAAAATATTTAATTAAAAATAAAAATTATATTTATTTCCGCAGAAAAAACAACAGAAACAGACGAAGAGGGGCCCCACCGCTGCTGCGGTGAATGGGCGGTGGTGACTCTGGCTGCGGTTGAGACCGGTGGTTTCTGTTGACGCTAAAGAGGCCTAAACGACTGAAATTTTTTGTATTTTTATTTTTATTTGAATTTATTATTAAATTTAATATTAAATAACCCAAAAAAAAAGAAAAAAGCCGAAAAAATAAGCAAGAAAGAGGCGGGGGCTGGGCTGGAGCGGTCTGTGGCCTGGCGTTCTGATAGCGAGACGGCGGCAGCAGCAGCAGCAAAGCTGCATGCTGTATTTGTTTCATATTAATAGAAATATAAAAATAAATAAAAATAAATAAATTAAAATAAATAAAGTAAAATGGATTGAGGTGTATATACAGCTGCCGTTTATAATGAGAAAGCCTCGACGAGCGGCGTGGCGTCTCTTCCTGCTGCAACGAAGGTTTTTATTTTTTCTTTTTGGGCTTAATATATATTTTTTTTTTTTATTATTTTATAATACTTGAGTTATACTTTTCTTTATTCTTTTCTTCACTCTCAACTCCCCCCCTCATCTGATTGCCTCTTTGGTTTTAGGGTTTACAGCGGCCCCTGGGGCCCCCTGAAACCCTAAACCCTAAACCCTAAACCCTAAACCCTAAACCCTAAACCCTAAACCTCGCGATGCAGAAGACGAAGGTGGTGGTTAGGGGTCTGTTGACGGTCCTGTCTGTGCTGGCGATTGCCTCAGTTGCTGCTGGCTTGGCTTTATATTTTCTCAATAAAAAAGCAAAAGCTGCTGCTGCTGCAGGCAAGGGGGGGGAGTTCGCTGCTGCTGGCGACAGCTGCACGCCTCTCCCTCACCTCTCCGTCGACCCCAACAGAAGGAGATGTTCTCCGCCCCTCATATG